GGTGAAAGAATTTTAAAATCGGCTCAGTAGTTTTTGAGTTATTTTTTCTCTTTATAATATAATCTTTTCTCTTTATAATATTAGTTAAAAATGTGTTAATTTCTGCTTTATGCAAAGTCATTTTGCAATATAAAAGTAAATTAAATATACCATAATTATATCTAATCACAACGAACATTTATATACTAATTGTTGTTTAATTTATTGTACTCATTGTTATTAACTTAAGTAATTAAGTTACCAACTCAATCTCTTGTTTGATTTATTTTAAACGCAAATCCAACGATCAAAAGTCAATTAGGCGATATTAACCTGAGGGGAGAATTATCGGACGTCACGAAACAATGGAAATACAACCTAAACGATTGGTGATAGAATTTAAATTCGAATATAATCCAGTTTAAATATTGGCTACAAAATGATTGTAGGCCAAAATTAAGTTGATCATTGTGCGGATTTATTTATAATACGTGTGTTGAGTTAAAAAATCTGCGACTTAACTTATAGTTAACTTAATTCTATGACAAAAGATACTTATGAATTCGTTGCATGTAAAGGAAATATTGTATTAAGTTTTTACTGCTCGGCGCCTGGTGACAAATTTTAGCAATTACCGCGTTCCGAGACCCTGCCCCTAAATAATTAAAACTTTAAACGCGGGAAATACTTCTATAATGGAATTCGGACATTACAACTAAATTCGAGGAACATGTGCAATCTTATGTATTACTAGCGATCGCCCGCGACTATGTTCTCGTGAAATAATAAATAAAACAAAAATAAGTACCCTATGTGTTCTTCCAGAATATCCTCTACAACTATAGCAAATTTCATAGAAATCCGTTCAACCGTTTAGGCCACAAACTCTAACAATCCATCCATCTAAACTTTCGCATTTATAACATTAGTACGATGTTGACTTTACAATAAAATTGTATACATATGCGTCACCAGGGGGCGGTAGGAGTTCCGCATAGGTTCAAATGGCTTCTATTATTCTTAGAGCGGGCACAACTTTGACTAAACTATCACACAACTGTTGTGCGATTGTAGATTGTTTTGCAGCCTTCAATTGTTTAGTTGCACAAATAAAAATTGAGCAATGTACCAAAAACGCTCAAAGCAAGACTTTTATTTTTTTATTTTCTGTCAATAAAACCTAATTCCTTGTTAATATATGTATGAGCAATAAGTGTATCTAGCAAGCGCATTATTTACGTAATAGTTTTACTATATCAGAATAACTATTTGAGTTAAGGAAATGCGAGTGAGGCGCGCCCTAATGAGACGTCTACACTAATGAAGTCCCATTCTAAGAGCTTCGTCAATGAAGGCAGTATATAGTGCCAATTAAAAAATATCATAAAAAGTAAAGTTTCTGGTTATTTTATAATTTACCTTTTCAATTTAATATATTTATTAATTAATTGAAAGATTTGATGGATAAAAAAGTGATAGATTGAACGTGACGATGATGAAAGTTAGTAGGAAATTGACAACAAAAACCTGGTGATTTGACCCTATGTAGGTGGGATAAAGCCAGGCAGATGTTGATAATGATGACTTGTATAACAAACAGAAACAAAAATGTAATTTATCGATGTAGTTGTTTCCTACATTCTCTTAACAAATTGTTATACTTGATTTTCTATGCACGTATCGTTGCGTGCCGCTAACTTGCCCTAAATCTTTCTAATGTCAAATTTATTAATATTAACGGCCCTTGGAGGAATCACCGCGCACATGCTAAGTGAAAAATACTTTTGAATGGGCTTTGATTTAACTACCACTTCAGAATAAGATACAAAATATTAAGTTTGTTCAACAAGTGATAGAATTTGATGGTCTATTGAATTATTAAAATTATAATTATTCAGTAACTAGCTGTTCCCGTGCGACTTCATCCGCATAAAATTGTGAAAATTTTATTTTACTGTTTACATGTTTCAAATTATCAATTGCAAATGCCAAAATGACATGACATGATGACAAAGCATGACAAGCTTGCTTCCTGGATGTTGGTAGTAACTTATGGTCTCTTTCCCACATTAGGGTTTTTATCCAAAATATATACTCCCGAAGTTTAATGGCATGAAAACATATAGCCTAAAGCGTGACGTAAGTGTAGGGCTTTTTATTAAAAGAAAAATATGCTGTAATTGCTGACATCTTAGGCAACAAAGAAGTGTGTGTTTACGTTTTATTATAATAGTATAGAAGTATAGATAACAAAAAGTTATTTAATATACGGTAAAAAAGTAAAGTATAAACAGGCTCCTGGTACAATACTATAAGCGAAAGGTATAACTAAACTAAACTATCTCACAACTTGTTTTGTCATGCTCTGATTTCTATCAGCTTATATGAAGGTGTACTCGATTTATATGCAACTAAACAGTTGAATGGGCTGCGAAACAATCGACAATCGCACAACGGTGCGATAGTTTAGTCCGTTTGCTTTTGAAGGCTGTGCTTTAAGCACTCTAGGTTACATGAGATAATATAATCAATGTCTGCTATTTACTGGAAGAGAATTCTCGATGGAATCTTGCAATAATCGCTCCAGTGGAGGAATAAATCAAGCGAGTCTAATTCACTTAGGTATTTGAACACGCTCCGATCCGAGAGGAACAGAGCGGGTTGTTTGGACAACTCATTTTGTTGCTACAATGTATTAAAACGATTGTTGTGTGTTGATTGAAATTGAAATTGAAAAAAAAATGTTTCTTTTAATCTTCTTTTTACTAACACTAAAACTAAAAGAAAAAAATCTTCGTTTTAAATACGATAGTTTAGATGGATAAACGTTTGTTAGAATTTGTAGCCTAAACTGCTAAAAGGTCTGAATAAAATTAGCCATAGATGTACAGGATAGTCTATAAGACATAGGCTACTTATTTTGGTTTCTTTTTAATTTCACGCGAACGGAATCGCGGGCGAAACCTAGTATGTTATAAAAATCAAGATATGTGAAGAATGCGAGACATGAACTCATCTAAAGCAGCAATTTTAATCAATTTTCAAAGATCAACGATAAAGGAATTCCCTCAAGAATTTGTGATGAAGGTTTATTGCTATGAAAAATGATGTCATAAATATGTGACATGTTTGTAGGAATTCGGTCAACTTTATAGAAAAGAAATTGGATCATTGAAAGAATGTTCGATCCCTTATATTTTTATACCAAATTGTTGAGTGATTTTTACAATTTTATTAAGTTTATTAGACAATTTTAAAAGTTGTTACGATTTGAAAAGAAATATGGGAACTTTTTTAATGAAATACGATTGTATGCAGAAGGATATCCGAGTAAAAAAGAAATTTGAACTCTTTATAAAGTTTGACCTCTGCTCGGGAATGGGATATCCGAAACATATACGAATAAATATAACAAGAACATATTGCTATGTTTTTTCAAAGAATGTTAATAAAAAAGCTTTGATAACTCATGGTAAGAGTTTATTTTACTCTAGTAAAAATTTGTCGCAAGAAAATGTGAAATAAAATTTGACAATTCGCAAAATTAACACTTCATTAAACATTTATAAGCACGAAGCTAATACCTTTTGAGTTGTTACATTTAAAATTGATCCTTATTCCTTGTGTGATGTGACTGAAATTGCAACGTATATTTGCAATATAATATCACCACCCAGAGAAATGGAATAGACCTGTAATGTTCATATTATTTGATCCCTAACAAATAAATCAGTTGATAAAGCCTTACCCAAATAAATCCCTAATGATAAATTAATATAAATTTACATAACCCTAAGTAATTGGGTTATTTTATGATATTTTATTGTTTAAATATATTTGAGAAACATGGCATTATTGGTGGGGGCCAGACTAATTACGTGCCGATGATATGAAAGAGCATCTGAAACCGACGTTCATGGTTACGAAGCTCTAATTTAGAAGCGAGAGAAATAAGGACCACGGCAAGTGGTCCGTGGTCTTTGTCTGATCTTTCTGGTGTCTCGTGGTCTTTCTGGTATTACGTGAGTTTTGTCGTTTATTGTTTAAAGATGTTACATGAATCTAATTACATGTCAGTTTATTGATTGAATGATAGAGGTCTACTAGAAAGTCTAGGAAGTTCTAGAATAAATTAAGCTCATACTCTTACAGATATTATAAATGTATAAGGGTCTATCCCACCACTGGCTGATAGAGACTCAGATAGCTTAAAAACAACTGTCAGATAAGGTAACCAAATCCGCTATTTCCATCAAATATGTTACACGTTCGATTGTTATCAGACAACTTACAATTTGGCGGGACAGGCCCAAAGTTTAGTTCGATGGATGTTTATAGTTTGTAGCCTAAACTGCTGAACGGATCTGGATGAAATTTGACATAGATGTTGAGTGTAGCATGGATCATCACAATGGCTACTTACTTTTGTTTTTTTTTAATTGCACGCGGGTGAAGTCGATAAATTATGAAATTGGAGTATTAATGATGTTGAGAACAAGGTAAGCATGTAGGCGTTTGTAAATTGTACTAAAGTGTTGATACGAAGGCGTGGGCGCGGTCGAGGGCGAAGGCGCTAATTATTCTGAGCGCGTAATGAAAGCCTCGCGGGAACAGTAATTACAGTCAGACATACCGCATACTCCAGTATTGCCCATGAAAGTGGTTGTTTTTGTGGCTGCCACAGATGTTTTTAAATTATGATTTTGTAATTTTAACACTTATATCAGCATTACTTAGCAACCAGCTTTCAATTTGCCGTAAATAGCAGTTTTTAGAATGTCCATCATAATATTATAAATACCAAAGTTTAGATGGATGGATGTTTGTTAGAGTTTGTATCCTAAATGGCTGAACGCATTTCGATGAAATTTGGTATAGATGTAGAGGATAGTCTGGAAGTTCTTCCATGTGTTCACATAGGCTATTCACTTTAGATTTTTTTTAACTCCACGCGGACGGAGTCGCAGGCGAAAGCTAGTTTAAATATAAATTTAGGAAAGGAGAGAACGAAAACAACAAAATAAAAAAGATCAATATTATATTTTCTAAGCCCATCACATAAATCAGATCAATGAAGTAACACAAACTAGTACAAACTTATTCAAACTTAACACTCACCTAAGACCCAGTCACAAATATTCTAAGCTAAGAAACAATATAAGTTATCTAGAAAGAAAGAAATTTACTTTCTCTAAGTTATCTAATGATTATTTTATTTGGTACTGGCCTTCGTGTTACATTAAACATTAAGTACTAAATAAAGCTACAATAATAAATAAAAAATCAAAATCTAAACAATTTATTGACGGTAACTTATATTTGCACTGTTCTTTGATTTTCAACCATACTTGTAACAACATTAAGATCAGTTTTGCTCGTATCCTTATTCTTATCTTTTTCTGAAAGAATTCTATTAATAATATTAGCGCAATCTTTATTTTCGATAATAGTGATGTGGTTCCCTTCTAGATTGTGTACAGTAACTTGACCCTCAGTATATTTGTCGAGGCCGTAGTTTTCCTCGCAGGTCATAAATGGAGGGGGGTCTTTAGGTCTTAGAAGGAATATTGGGGCTGAGAGCTTTTTCTCTAAAGGTTTGTGGTCTAACACCATTTTGAGTCTATCAAAGCTGGCCGCAGCGACCGCGGCTACAAAGCTCTCGGAATATCTATGCTGTACTGAGGATACTTTTGCTGCGTGTTTGATTCTTTCGTCGTAGGATTCTATTTGGTTGAGTTTGGTCATGAGGTCCTTGGTGACGTCATCGTTGGGGGCGATGATCTCTAAGGTGTGGCAGATGAGGCTGTTCTGCAGCAGCACGTCGTCTTTGGTGTCCAGCGTCTGAGTGAGCAGACCGTACAGGAAGTCCGGCGCTCCGTCGATACAGAATACTATACCTTTGTGACCTGGAATATATTAACAAATATTTACTAATCTTACTAATATTATAAATGCGAAAGTTTGGATGGATGAATGGATGGATGGATGTCAGAGTTGGTAGCTTACTGAACGGATCTCGA